GTTATTACCTTTGAAGCCCTATCTGGCTCTAGGGCCAAGTTATTTGCAGGATCGTCTCTAGCTATCTATCATTCCTACCATATCAAATAGGGTGGGCATGCTTCCAGTCCCTTCCCTTAAACATTGCCATTTTATGGGATCTAGGAATTTACTCTTTTCATGGCAGCTCCTCCCCTTGAGGTTCAGCAGGCCTCTATCCTACCCTTCCAAACAGTACTTAAGATCTTGTTTTTCCTCTTAAGTGCTGGGATAGAGTGAGGTGGATGAGAGGATTCAATGATGGACTGAATGTGGAAGCTTAACTTTGGTGCCAGGTTTTTAATGTATATGGTTTTGATGTATGTATATATTATGTTGTTTTATTATTAATGCTATTTTAATTGTAGGTTGAGAGCTATCTAGAATTCGATATAAGATAGAATATATAAATGTTTTAAATAAGAAGTGAGTAAGTACAGGTATGTTCATCTATGAAATATGTGTATGTGATTTCTCCACAGTGAGTAAAGAAATAAAATTCTCAGTACATTAATTTATCTTATCGTTGTCGTACTTACATGCCACTTTTTACCCATATTGACTGAGTAAGAAAGTGAAAATCTTTATTCAGAATTGAACTGGTAGCTTCTTGCAAGTGCAGCTCTTTGCCTTCACAATTCTCTAGAGCAAAAAGGCTGATCATCGGCTCAGCAAAAACCTGGAAGAAGAAAAAAAGATTAATACTGTGTTGGTTAGTTATATTTAGATTTTCTTTGGTTCCCCATATGTGAGGAAGCTTTTCCTTGGTTTGCAGATGCTTATTTAGAAAATAATGTTGGCTTCATTCTATTCTGAAAAATTTAATCAATAAACCAAAATTAAAGCAAAAGGAATTCACTACTAATCTACCCACATTTTTAATGTTATTTGTTGAGTTCCCTAATCAACTAGGACTAGGCAATTTACTGTAAGTGATAAAGATAAAAAGATAAACAGTGATTATAGTTGCTGATCTTGAACTCTTACAAAAGGGACTTTCATAGTATAACATTTTTAAAATAATACAAAAATGGGACCAAGATGTGATGTGATTTGTATTTTAGGCAAGCATGTACAATATGGATATATTAATTTTAATTTTCCTCTATATGATTATTTCTACCAATTTATATGCCAATAAAGAAACCAAGGTGGCGTAGTGGTTAGAATGCAGTACTGCAGGCTACTTCTGCTGATTGCCAGCTGCCTGCAATTTGGCAGTTCAAATCTCACCAGGCTGAAGTTTGACTCAGTTTTCCAAGTGGGTAAAATGAGGACCCAAATTGTTGCGGGCAATATGCTGGCTATAAACCACTTAGAGGGCTGTAAAGCACTGTAAAGCTGTATATAAGTCTTATTGCTATTGCTAATTCATTCAAGTAACTCTAATCCTCTGAAGTCATTTAATACATGCAAGTCCTATTTAGTTACATTGTTTAATACAGGAAAATTGAATTAAAAAAACAATCTCCCAAGCAAAATTATCTCTGATTCAATAGATTTAAAAGTAGGAAGTATATGATACTCAAATTTTGAAATTCAACTCTTAAAATTCACTATGATAGCAGAGAGTTGTGGGAACTGGCATCCAAGTATATATGAAGCTAAAACTTCATACCAATAGTAGATAAGCCAAATAAAAGTTGTCAGTAATCACAGAAAGTAATGAGAATTCCTCGTAATAGGTCAACTGATAGTCATCCATATTAAATACTTTGATTGAATAAATTTTGTTATTTACAAATGAACTCTATTATTAAGCAATTAAGTATAGAGTTGACTGAAATATTTTTTTACCTTTTAATTTTTTTTGATAAAGACAGACAAAAGAACCAATTTGTGAACTCCTTAAAATAAAATAAGGTTAATATTTAATATTTACATAGACCCAGACTTGGTGTAATTGTGCACAAAAATAAAAGAAATGTTTTGCATTATTGCCTTTAACATCTTATATTACTTCGCTCCCACCTGAGCAAAACAACAATCAAGAAGAGCACCATTCTGGTAGACTAGCTGTTTTGGAAGTATAATATGGAAAAATGCATCCTTTTCCCAGGGGACTTTATTTTCTGTTACAACTTCCCTTAAACTCTGTCAATTTCTTTGTAGTTTTTAGATACATTTCCAAGAAGAAGATACTTTGTATTATGAATTTAAGCCAATTGAAATAGTGAAATAAATAGAAGGCCCAGGGGGGAAAAAGCTTTTTTTTTTAAAGAAAAAAAACAGAAACTACTGTGCTTATGCAGGTAGTTCTTGTTTGATAACTGTCATGCACAACAACTGTTGGTAGTTATGATAAAAAGTAACTTTGCAACCAGTCCTCAGATTTATGACCTTTACAGTTCTGTAAAGGAAAGGAAAGGTGAAGTAAGATCATAAGCACAATCATGGTTTCATTCATCAACTGCTCTGCTTAAGGGCCAAGCGATGGATTCCAATTGCAGTCACTAAATGAGGACAACCTGTAAAAAACCTAATTTTTCAAAATGATNAGGGGTGGGGGGAGAGGAAAGAACCATGTAAACAGCCTCTTCTTCTTTTCCATACTTATTGATCATCTTGCCTGATCTACATGCTATTTTGAAATGGTATCGGAACATTTTTTTTCTTATCCCCATAAAGGGGTGTTGTTAGATCGGGTAAAGGAGGCACACACAAAGGCTCGTAACAACAGCTCTTTATTGCAAGTAAAGTAAACATCCGGCTAAGGAATGGTCAAACAGCATCCCCTTTTAAAGGGATCTGTCAGACCTCCCAGCCAATGAGATTTAACCTCTGTTCCTGCCAGAACAGAGGACCTTGGGGGGGGGGAGAGATGTCTAACAGGTGTGACTATGTGTGTGTACTTTTTGGGATGCATGAACTTGTTCCATTTTCAATGAAGACAGCATGCTTGTTAAATCCAAAGAATGGATTTAAATATTAACTAAAACAACACCAAGGCTTATGTGGACTACATGTAGCTGCAGTGAGCTTGTCTTTCTTTACTATTGTATTAAAGCCGTAGCCACTTGAATCATCATAAAGTAACACTGGAATTTGATTCCAGTTGCCAAACTCTGCTCTGCTTTTTGAGTCATTGCCGGATGCTGATTTTCTGATCTATACAAGTGCCATAATTGGTTTTCTGGTTTTACTGCTGGATCTTTTCAGGATTGTCACTAGCCATCTGGAGTCCTCATTCTGCATTCCATATGGCATCTTCTACTGTAAGATAAACAGATTGGAAAAGAGGGCAGCAAAAGCCCAGAAGGAAGGATACAGCCTCTGCCATGATTATGCAACTAATAAGGAAGAACCTGTACATTGGGGCTATAGAAACTGTATAGCTGTTGGGAACCACATATTTTTCAGAGGGATTTGTGAGAAGATGGTTGAAACTGACAAATACAGGGAACTTGTAAATAATGAACAATAACCAAGTTTATATTTCTTTGTTGTTTCTTAGTTATACCTTGCAATAAGGAAAATTATTCATTTATTACGTAAATTATTTATATAGGCTCCCATCTTACAACTAAGTCTGGGTGGCTTCCAATCAAAAATTGTTCTATCTAAAGTTAACAGCCCAGGTTCAGGTACTGTTAATACAGAATTATGTTGATATACTCTGCTTATTTCTGGAGATATCCCATGCCTTGTTGGAAGCCTAAAAAGGGCTGACTACATACAATTATACAGACATTCCAGTTCTTTGGTTTCTGTGCCGGTAAACTTATAGGCCAAATGAAAAATACTGGTTATTAATTATAAAGCCCTTTATAACATGGCTTTGTGCTGTATCAAGTACCATTTCTCCCAGAATGATTTTGCTGAGCCTATTATGTAAACTTGAGGGAGCTTGTTGAAGGTCCTATCCACTGGGTAAGTGAAGGAATTGTGGGCACAAAAGGCCTTCTCTGTGCTAGCTAAAGAGTTGGGAGTGTCCCTGGCACTTTCTCAAGGCTCTCAAAACAATTTTACTCAAGTGGGCTTTTGAAGCTTTATGTTACTGCCTGCTTCTTCTTTTATATGTTTTTATGCTTGAAAGCATCTGTTCTCTGTGATTGTATTTTGTGATGTTTTCTGCATTTAAAAAAATGTTTCTAGGAAGGAATAATGTAATAATAATAATAACAATGGTAATAAAAATTAATACATATTGTTCTGCAAGCTTTTCTTCTCTGTGGAGAATCATCCCAAAAAAGTATGTTTCATACAGTGACCTGTCAACACCTCTGTAAATACCTTGAATAACATAAGTTTAGATTAATTGTGGGGATGGGGGTGGTCAAATTTGCATTATTGGGATTTCTGGTGATAAGTGAATTGGTGTGATCCTGTGTGAATAAAATTTAAGATTTCTTGGAGGGACTAACTGGTTTTTACAGATGTTGATACCATGTTCTAAACTTTATAATTTGGGTTTAAACATTATAAGCCCCTTTGGTAGTTTAAAAGAACAATAAGGTGTAAAGCAAAAAAAAAAGTTGAACAGGACCTAGCTGCTTGAAATTGAATCTAGCAGTGCCGGCTATGCTTCCTGATCCTAAGCAACTTTGCACAGAAATAAAATCCACTGGCTTCAGTCCATCATGCTATGTCATCCTATCTATATGGAAAATCAAATTAGAATGTACTTGTTGGATGTGTTTTTATGAAATATGTATAAAATCAGATGTTCGTTTCTTTGTTTCTTGTATAGCATTATGCCTAAGAAAGGAGGAAGACGAGCTAGAATAGAGAAGGAATCAGATTTGCCAAGCAAACAAGCAAAAACAGAAGCAGTCGGTCCTTTGCTTTGGAAACATGACAATCCAGAGAGCTTATTTGAGAGTTTGATTGCTCCTATTAAAGAAGATGAATTTTTTAGAGAATATTGGGAACAGAAGCCACTGTTGATTCAGAGGGATGACTCCTCTGTGGCATCATATTATCAGTCTCTCTTTCAGTTAACTGACTTGAAAGACTTAGTCAAACTAGGTTTGTATTATGGTAAAGACATCAATATATGTAGATGTACGAATGGCAAAAAACTTATTTTTAATAAAGATGGAAAAGCAACCTATGCACAACTGAAGAAAGATTTTGATCAGAAAAAGGCTACAATACAATTTCATCAACCACAGAGATTTAAGGTAAATAAAGAACAATTGTTTGCATTTTGTGGCTGCTTTTGTGTTTCTCAACTTTGACTCAGAACTAATGAATTTAGGAAGAAAACCATCGCATAATGTGTGCTCGCGCTTTGCTTTAGGTTAATGTTTTTAAACTAAAAAAAAAATTCCACAGATTACTTCATTTTTCTATTTAGCATTAGTTTTTACTTTTTATTTTGTTTTTTGTATTTTTTAGTTTTTCTGTTTTGTATATTTTAGTTTCAAATACATTTATGTATTTATAAAATTTATAGTCCACCATCTTACCTAAAGGTAACTCTGGGTGGCTACATAGTTACTGTTTATACGTATTGCTGAGATTATCATTTCATATTACAGTAGTCCTTGGGTTATGATGTCAACTGGAATCTAGATTGCTTTTCTAAATAATGTAAATACAACATTATATAAATTTATCACTTATTGACAACAATTCCAGCAGTCATAGTTGCCATCATAACCCCAAGACACATGGATTGTTAAGCAGCAGGAGTCCTAGGTAAAGAGCTTGAGGGTGCCATGGGTGGTGGGAGAGTCCTTGGGAGGTACAACATAGGAGCCATGGCAAGGGGAAAGAGACTGTAGGCCTCTGCAAGCCCAGGAAGGTTGAGGGAAGGCGGTCATAGTGCTGCAACAAATGCAGAGAGGCCACAGATGGGTGTGAGCACAGGGAGACTGAGGGAAAGAGGCCCTGGGTTTGTGTGAGTGCAGGGAAGCTTCATGAAGGATGCCCCAGCATCCCTCATTATATAGGAACACCAAGGAAAGAGGGCTATTGTTTGCCACCAACTTGGGGTTAGAGGAAGGAGCCTGCAACAGCATGTGTGCACAGGGTATCGGTCTTGCAGGAAATTGTGAACTTTCAGCAACTAAAATGCAGTGATAAACTAACACTTTTTATGAATTAGAATCTATTTGAGTTTTGGGTTTGGTTAAATATAAGTTCAAAATTATAGCCTTTATATAAAGCTTCAATTTGTTTCTAGTAAGCTGAAGTAGCTATGAAACCATTGTTTCAATTCTTGGGAATCACCATGTAACACAGTGTGGAGTGATCTTTTATACTTTACCCAGCCAGTTACATTTTTCCTTCCTATTCCAAAGGCATTCAACAATCTATAGCTATTATCTGATTTTGTTGGAATTATCTGCTGCTCAACTTTTTCTCACAAGTAATCTTGTCATATACAGATCTTAAGTTTTCTTCAAATATTCTGATAACTCCAGTTGCTTCTTCATAGCCTTCTAATGATGAGGATAACATAATTGTATTAGGACTTTCATTTTTTAAACCACTCTCACTTGCTGTTCCTTGCTTGCTTTCTATCCAAATGGAGTTAGAGTGACCAAATCTTGGCGGGGTNGCAGTATATATACAGTCCATGTAACTATAAGTAAAACTTGTGTGGGGATATGGAAGTGACCTCATAACTGGATGTCCAATTCAACTATCGAGGTGATTTCTTCTAGTGTTTCTTCATGCAGACCTTCTAGAAACCAGACAACGCATGTTGTAGGCAATCTTGCACAATATGTTTGATAGTATCATAGAACCATCACAATCATAACAAAAGGAATATTTCCATGCCCACTGATACAGGGCAGAGGCACTTCTTCCAGTACCACACCTAATTTTATTCAACTTTGATGAGATAAAGTGAGGCAGGTCAAAAACCAGATGGTTTAGTAGAGGAATTATATACGATGATAATATGACATGATTCCATATCATCATTCCTTTCTTTATTTGAAATGCTGCCAAACTACCATCCTCAAATCTGGTATTAAGATAGGAAGTTAGCAAGGTGGGACTTGGAAATAACTTACTAATAGTTAAATAAGAGATTGGGCAGGCAAAAAAGATCATGTTATAAGTCTTCACTGCTATAGTGAGATGAAACAGAGTTCTAATTAAATTATAATTCTTTCCAAATTTCCATCTACAGAAATGGAAATTATCCATTTACAAAGATAAAAGCTGTAGTCACTGGTGTATTAGGGGTGGTCTGGTGGTGATGGTGGTTTGACCAGAATGGAGACCTTAGTTATCTCCACTTAGATGCTGCCAATGGCAAGGAGAGGTTGGTATGGAGTTGGATCCTGCTGCCAGTGAACTAGTACAACGGTGGTACATGGGGAAAAAAGTGTGCCTTTAAGTCAGCTTTGACTTTTGGTAATGACCCTGAAGTTTTATTGACAGCATTTTTGAGAAATTGTTATTGCTTCCTTCCTAGGGCTAAGAGAAAGTGAGAGATCCAAGGTCATCTTGTTGGCTTTGAGCCTAAGGCAAGATTAGATGGACACTCTCCTGTTTTCTGCCTGTTGCCTTAACTATTACACCAAGCTAATTCTCAGCAAGAGAGGAGGAGCCAGTTTAAAAAAAAACCACTTGAGGTGTCAAAATGCTAGGTATGCCACTGGTTACACTCAAAGCAGGAAAGCAAGAAGTTGGAGATATGTATATACGGNAGTTGAAGTCCACAGGACTTAAAATCGCCAAGGTTAAGAAACACTGTGCTAGAGTTTTTCAAACAATCTATCAGAAAGTCAAAAGAATCTTGAAATGTTTTTAAAAAATAGTCAGATTCTTCTTCATCATAAAAAAGATATTACATGATAAAAAAAACTTGTTTTTATCATCTAGAATTATTTATCTGGGCTGTTACTTCCTACTTGTGTAACAGATTTTTGCAGATCTGGTATGCAAATATCAGACTACCACAAGAAAATTTTCTCAGCCTCTGCTGCAATCTAGATTTTTGAAGTGGTAATAACTGAAGTGGGGTAAGAAAGTAACATGAGTAAATATCTCAGACAATTCCATAGTTCTCACAAAAATAGAGACAGGCAGGTGAAAAACACATTCAGATTTGCAAGATCCTATTATTAAAGCTTTACAATAAAAATAGTACTGACCTACATGACATTAGATTCCTAGTCTGATCTACCTTGAAGGGCTAATATTCACATTATTCCTTTCTTCCTGAATGGGCATGAAGCTGAGGCAATTTCAGTGGCTTTATAATTTATGTGAATTAAATTTTATTGAGCTAAATGCTTCATAACATTTTAAATAATTATTGATTACTAGTTACCCTCACTTTAAAACAGAGAATTCTCCCAAATTTATATAACTAAACTGCCTAGTTTAGCTTAATTTATGAATCTGTCCCTATTGGTTCAATGGTTATCATTTCTTATATAGTAAGTAAACTATCCATGTAAGAAACATAAGTCAGATAGTTCTTTATAATTTTATCACAACCATGTGACCCTATATGGATATTATTTCAATGTAAGATCTCTGTCAAGTTGTGTAAATTCTTTGCTGGGTTGTTTTTCATTTAATAAAAAGTTTCTTTATATAAATAAATTTGGCTTCTTACTAATATCTCTTAGAGATGTATGCCTCAACCCTTGTAAAATAAAAATATACAAATCAGAACCACAACTGCTTGATTATATTCTTTAGAGGACACTGCATTTTGGGCTGTAGAAGGCTTTTCTGAATACTGCTAGGTGGTTCTTACATGATGAACAGGCTTAAGGGACTTGACTTTAGTTGCTGAACACCCACAGGAAGCAAGGTCAGGATAGAGGTCTTCTTCTAGCACACACTGTTCAACAGCAGTTTCTCCCTGATAATAAAGCAACCAACTGAAAGATAAGAAAAAAAATCCACATGAAGTTGTATTGGTTTCTACTAAATAAAATAGAATAGAATAGAAATACAGATTTATTATTACAAATTATAACTAAATGTTGATGGATTGATGTGTAGAAACAAAAATATACAGTAATGGCTAGCATTCATCTCCAAATACCCTTGATGCACTTCTCAAATGGCTTTGTTTCTAGAATTCCCTATTTCCGATATTACTATATTCAGAAGATGGAACAGAGAAAAGCTCTGTGCGGCAGTTGTAAAAGTATTATTTTAATCATCATCCTCATATCTCTTCCATAGCACTGATCAGAAACTTGCAATTCAATGTTCTGTATTTCAGTGACACCAACTGGGTTGCTAAGGGTTGCATTGTTATCTGCAGAATCTCAAATAGGTTCTTTGAAACACAAAAATTGGCAGGCTGCCCTTAGATCTGAACTTTTAAATTAGCAAAAAACAGTGAACTAGAGTCCCTATAATTGCTGTTATTCAGATTCAATTAGCAGAGTACTAATAGTTTTAAAAGGTTTGCTATTATTAATTACATTAAAATCATTCAATAATGATCTTGAAATTTCAGATTTCAATTTTCTGAAGCCCAGCATGCAACACACACCAAGCAATTTTACAATTAATTCAACTGATGAATTAATCTAGCGGGATCCTCTCTGTGTTCAAATGTGTTCGCACACATTGGAAGAGTTGTCCCTGAAGTGTATGAGTGAAAATGCTACTTGTATGTGCCAGGAGTATATACTCCCAGCAACTTTAAGGTAGTTATCCCAGCTGCCTAGTTAAGGCAATCAGCCACCCATAGTGGGCAGTAGCATACAGGAAGATGCTAGACACAGAGAATCACTTTAGGGACAATGGGACAATGGAAAAGACATCATTTCTTATTACATTCAGAAGACAATAATATACAAATGTTGTATTTTACCATAAAACCCTCCTGAATAGAAAATATAAAATGGTTGATGATATGGTGCTGTATTATGGGCTCCTCGTTAGATGGCCCTCAACCAGTGGTGGGATTCAATTTTTTTTACTACCGCGTGGCTTGGTGGGCATGACAGGGGAAGTATACTTAAAATCTCCATTCTCATCCCACTCCAGGGGAAGGATACTGCAAAATCCAGCTGGCACTTNAATACTTCCACAGATGCTTACAATGAAGAAGACTTGATGCTCTACTGGAAACATGGCAATGAATCTTTAAGTTTAGATGAGTACATTTCTCTTTCTCAGTTTTTCATTGAAGAATTTAGTGCTTCTAGTGGATTAGCATTCTACAGCAGTACAGGTATAGTACTCTTAAGAGTGAGAAATAGATGCCCTTTTTGTATTTATTTTGACCTTAGCAGATAATAATATCAGTAGGATTATAAAGAAAATCAGTTCAAAAGAGATGTCATTTTTTCTACACGCTGGATATACAGTATTTATTTAAACTTTGATTTTACTAGCTTTAGATAAAATCCATATATTTTATAAAGATAATAAAAGACAATGTAGTTTTTTATTAAATGAATGAGCTGAATTTTCCTCACATCCTTTCTTGGAAGATATATGTGGTCATGTTTGCATTTTAAACCTTATATATCTACTTTGATTGTTCTATTCAATTTGTCTGCTGCCCTCCAAGCAATTTTCCAAAGGATGAATTTTACCTGAAGGCCATTTAAGTAAATATTTACCAAGCTTTTCATAAAAGAAAAATGTTGTTCTTTTAGAAAGACACTATGAAGTCAACATTTAATATAACATTGCATGGGCTGGTTATTAAGACATGTCTGTTTTTCTTCAGGTTGGTACAATCGACTTTTTATAAACTTTGCTCTACGGAGACACATTTTCTTTTTTGTTTTACAATCCTATTTCCCCTCTATGTTGATGGTGATGCTATCTTGGGTTTCCTTTTGGATAGACCGAAGAGCTGTTCCTGCAAGAGTATCACTAGGTACATTTTCCTTATAAACTATTTTAGGTTGTGTAGTAGAGTCTGATAGTTAATAGTTGGGTTGTATTTATGAAGTGTCTTACAGGAACTGTTTGATTATTTTTGATTATAATTATTAAAGCGGTTAATAATTACTCTGATCTATAGGGTTTTATATAGTTTTCCTTTCCATTATTAGGAAAAAGAATGGAGCATTTCCTTCCACAAGTTGTCCATTGATCATAAAGGTTCAATATAACAAGAGGAAATTATTAGCTTAAATTTTCTTGGAAATGGTCTGTTCTAGGGGGAATAATCATTTTGCTTTGCATGACAACAACCCAGTTGGATTCTCTCACACCCCACACATACACATATGCTGAGGCAACACATACAAAGCCATCCTGAATAGATTCATACATGTATAAGTAAGGCAAAGGCAGTATCTATGTAGACATCCTGATTTGACCCTGGAGACAAAGGCTGTGCAGATGTACTGCATTGTGCATTGCAAATTCACACAAAAGAAACTACAGACGCCTCCTATGGCCATCTTTGCTAAAGGAGTTTTAAAAAATTCAGAAGACATTCTCTACATGTTTCTTTATGTTGTTTTAAATCCTGTTTAAGATACAAGGTCACATTTTGAAACCAAATAAATAATTAATCTTTGATGCTTTCTTCTTCAATTATTAATTGTAGAATAAGTGAAAACATATAGCTCACCTGCTTTCTTTCCCATCTATGATGCTTAAAAACATGTTTAATGGATTGTGATATCTTAGCTTTCAATCATGGTTTTGACAGATCTGCTTCCAGAATCAGAACTGCAAGAAAGATTTAAAAGTAAACATTAATTTTCCATTAGTAATTAACAACAGTATTCGCCACATGGAATTTTGCTTCTATTTTAAAATATACTGTTAAGAGCGATCAGTTTTTAATAATGATGATCATAATAATAATATAGGAATTTGCTAAAAAAGCATTTGGAGAATGTTTTAAAAGTGAACAATTTCTATTCTCATTTACCATGGCCACACATTTATTACTGTTAAAGTGAGAATAAACGATCTTAAATAAATATTGGGTTTTACATTGGATATTTATGAAATTCTCACCATATAGGAGGCATAATCTGTTCCAAACAGTGAATCCAGGATAATTGTAATAAAACATATTCTTCATACAGCATTTTTTCCAAGTTTAAATTAAAAGATTTCCTGATTCTACTTGCTGAATTACTAAGACAAATAGAGCTGAATCATTTTCAAAGGAAAAGTGAATAAAATTCAGGGTCAGCTTCAATATTTTCAGTCAAAACCATTAAATTAATTAGTGGTTCTATTAACCTATTGGTATGTGTGCTGGTTGAAATCTGGGAACAACTTTATATGAGGTGTTTCATGTAGTTGTTATAACAAATACTACATGGAAAGAAACAAGAGAAGGCACTCACAACCATTTACACACATAGCATTTTGTGCATATTTTCATAGAATGCAAGAACTAACTTATAGTATGTGGTCCTCAGCTTATGACTACAATTGAGCCCAAAGTTTTTGTTGCTAAGTGAAAAAATGAGTTTTGCCCTGTTTTACAAATTTTCTTGCCACATTTGTTAAGTGAATCACTGCAGTTGTTAAATTAATAACACAGTTGTTAAGTGAATCTGGCTTCCCCACAGACTTTGCTAGTCAGATGGTTGCAAAAGGTGATCACATGATGCCGGGAGATTGCAGCCGTCATAAATGTGGGTCAGTTGTCAAGCATCAGAATGTAAATAATGTGGCCATGGGGACAGTGCAATGGTCATGTGTGAAAAATGGTCATAAGTCACTTTTTTCAGTGCCATTGTAACTTTGCAAGGTCACTAAATGAACTGTTGTAAGTCAAGGATTACCTGTGCTCCTATCTTTTCTTTTCTTTTGGCAGGTATAACTACTGTGCTGACGATGTCAACCATAATTACTGGAGTAAGTGCCTCAATGCCCCAGGTGTCTTATATAAAAGCTGTGGATGTATATTTATGGATCAGCTTCCTTTTTGTCTTCCTATCTGTTATTGAATATGCAGCTGTAAATTATCTCACAACAGTGGAAGAAAGAAAACATCTGAAAAACAGAGGAAAGGTATATATTTGCAAATGTTTTCCCCATGTAAAAATATTCAAAAATACTTAGAATTATAAAAAATAATACCATACTATGTAGTACCAATATTTCCTTTCTCTGTTTCTTTTGATAACGTTCATTCTAAACTTTGACGAATTAATTTCAGCTTAAAATAATTCTCCTCAGGGAAACTAGATCCAATGGCATTGTCATTGGATATTGGAAAGTTCCATTTTTGGAGCAAAAATGTATGGGGGCCCTTCAAAATCTCTTGACATCAAGGGTTCCAGATTTAGGAAAGGAGACTTGGAGACTGAAAAAGCAGGGGACCGGGGCTGAGAATAACTGAGGCTCCTAATTTGCTCTTCCTTAAATTAGACACTGGATAACATCTCTTAAGTTTAATATTCCTTTTCCTGAATTTATTTGTACCAAAGAATGTGGAAGAGCTTGTTTTTCTTTGCAATCTGTCACCTATGCTCCAATGGAAATATCAGAGCACCTTGGAATGCTCTGATTTAAATTGAGCACCAGGAGGCATTACACGACTGTTTCTCATCAATTAATCACTCATCTGTTATTCTGTATATGAACAGGGCAAACCAATCATTTAACCTCTTCCGGTGCTCAATATTTTCCCATTAAAATAGCATTTCCCCCCTTTAAGCTTCCAACCAGCTGTGCCAATTTTACCATAGGCATAGTCTAGCACACATTACCGACTATTGACGAAGTGCTGTTGTCAGTTGATCTCTGGTGGTGGTATTCACTGAAATTCTTTTAGTATTCTTTCATAATGGCTTCACTGGCTTTTCTACAATAAAACAAAGACATTCTTTCAATGCCTAAATGCTTATTGTGTCTGTTTTCTATTTAGCCTGACACAGATTGCAGAAGACTACAGCTGCAACCACATGAGTTTCCCAGTGATATAAATCCATTGATTCAATTGTTCTTCCTTCTAGGTTGCTGGGTTATATAACATTGATGCAACGCAAGCCATGGCCTTTGATGGGTGCTATCATGATACTGACATTGATCTTGCCACCTTGAGTGTACTTTTGGAAGAGGGAGCAGCATGCGAGCGAGCACCCAGCATCACCCATCTGGGTCAAGGTCCCTTAAAAAGAAAAAGGGTTTTGAAAAGAACTGTGGGCAGAATTATTTTGCAGAATAACCACGTCATTGATACGTATTCCAGGATTGTATTTCCTGCTATATATATTGTATTTAACTTTTTTTACTGGGGTTTATATATATAAATGAAGAGAGTCATAACTACTTTACTTATTTTATGTTCATGTGAACAACTGAGACTTGTTATAGTAAGCTAAGGACTCCCTTAGGTGAGCTGGATTTCTTGTTGACTTATTTTTAAAGATTAGCTAGGAACAGGTAGGTGCTATTACATTCTAGCGTATACATTGTTTAAAATATACCCAAGCACTGATCAATATAAAAATGATTGAGACTGACAAACAGAATATAGCAACCAATGGACAATTCTACTTCAGNGCAAGAAAATGTAAAATGGGGCACAATTCACTTAACAAATATCTCACTTAGCAACAGAAATTTTGGGCTCAATTTTGGTTGTAAGTTGAGGGCTATCTGTAGTTGTTTATTTTACTACAACTGTTTTTACAGGCATCCCCTATTATGTTGAGAGGAAAAGGTAATGGCAAAGATAACATTTAACACTGGAATTTTTCCTTCATATTTAATTATAAAGAAAATCTTTTAGAAAATTCTAGACACTGTCTCTTAAATGTATTCAAGCCTTGGCTATGGTCATGATTATTTAAATAAGCCTCATGTTACAAAAGGCATATCAATAATTCACTTAATACTTTTAAAAAAATTTAAGTGCTTGTCTATACCAGTATGAGACCCTATGCTTAGAATCACCATATCTGTATAGTGTTGTACATTCTCTTGTGTGAATTAATATACTGTATATGGTCATATTATAGGATAAAGGCAAACAAGCACATATTTTGGACTGATTATTTAATTCGTAATATATTTAAGGCACAATAAGGACATGATGATAAATTTTAAGTTCTTAATTTATTTTACTGCCCCTAGTTAGGCTGCTAAAAAGTATTGCACTGTAGATACTGCAGCAATTACAAATATGAGTTTTACTGTATTGCATGTTCTTAAGATTATCCTAAAATAAGATTGCCTACTCATGCTTTTCAGGTCAAGCTTTATTTAAAGGTGTAATTTAACTACACAGTTTTGCTAATTCTACCTTGCTTGGAAGATGCTAGCAAAACAAAACAATTCCACATTATTTTTCATGTTTAATATTTCTTAAGATATTATTGTGAAACTGTCCTAACTACATTTACATAGTATTTTGAAACATCTTGCTGTTTATATCAACATAAAAGAAACAGAACTTGTATCAAATATGAAAATCTGGTGCATTGATAGGTCATATGTTTTGTGTAAATATGAAAAGATAAGTACAAAAAATGCACTTCAGTTTAAATTGTGACTATGGAATGATTTTTTGAATTCAAAACGGTCTACATAGGTATATTACATACATATTTACCAGTGGTGGTTTGCAGGCGGTACGCCCCAGTACTGATGTACTGGACCCTGCCTGGAGCGCNATTTTCTATTTACAGTACTGCTATTAAAGTAATGATTGGTGAATTCAGCTGATTTGTACAATAAGCAGTATGCTGCTTCCTTTGTGATACACACAGCAATGACAATTATAGGACTTTTCACAATATTGTAAAACTGCTTTCAGAACAACTTTAGAAGCTTATAAGCAGAGATGGTATTCAGCAAGTTCTGACCAGTTCTGGAGAACCAGTAGCAGAAATTTTGAGTAGTTTGGAGAACCGGTAAATACCACCTCTGACTGGCCCGGTCCACATCTATTCTCTGCCTCTCGAGTCCCAGCTGATTGGGAAGAAACGGGGATTTTGCAGTAACCTTCCCCTGGAGTGAGTGGGAATGGAAATTTTACAGTATCCTTCCCCTGCCATGCCCACAAAGCCACACCCACAAAGCCAAACCACACCCACAAAGCCATGCCCACAGAACAGGTAGCAAAAAAATTTGAATCCCACCTAAAGTAACTGGCTTATAAGGCCAGTTACATGAATGCTACATGTGCAAGAACTCTCTATTCTAATATCTGCCTGATCCTGTAAGTTGATCCTTTATGACTCTGTCACTTGTAAAACCAATGTCTCCCATCCCCCAAGAACTGATCTCACATCCAATTTTGATTAAATTATATTATCTATTTCAGAAGTCTGGATTTTCAAATTTTGCTAATATTGTGGAGGAGATGAAAGGCTGACTGTATTTAGGAAAGAAGTTTTGTTAGCCAAATCAGACAAGATGATGATACTATATTCTTAGATAAATTCACATGGTATTGCACACAAACTAGATGTGAGTTGCATTTATTTGTGTTTTGATTAACTGCAGGAGGAGATTTTAAAGGGGGAAATGGCAAACATGGAGAAATAGATTGTTTAATATTTTTTCTACTGTTTTCTGTTCCAATTTCCATTTGTTGTTAATACTTCAAGAGAATTAACACATATACATGCATGGGCTAATTCAGCTGCTAGATGTGTATAATCTCCCATTATATTTATATACTAAAAGTGTATTAATTCTTGAGATTTTAAATTAAAGCATAACTTTTAATGAGGTGGCAGTCATTTGTTTCTAAACTGAGAAAATATAAAGGATGATTGTAATGATTACCATATATATAATGTATATCCCATACATTAAGTATGGTTTTTTGCTTGCATACTTTTGAACAATTGTGAAGCTATTTCAAGAACACTTCTGAATACCATGCTTTCAATGCTAATTTGGAATCCTTATGCATCTAATGAAGCAAAGTTTAATCTATGAAAGAGCATGTAATACTACATTTATTATTTAAAATGCTATAGCACATTAATAATTCATATTTTAAAATACTTGCTCAAATCATAATTTCTTGTTTATTCTTGATAGCTCCAGAAACATTGGAGTACCTCCATTCATTGCAATAAAATTTCAGAGAAACTGATTTGCACTTTTAATTAATATTTATTTTTTTCAGTTTAATTTTCAGTGTAGAAATTTTTTTGGTTAAAAATATGAAAATTATATGTTGAAGGTAATTAAAATAAAAACTACTTTGAAACAAGAAAACACTTGTGTACTATGCCTTATCTTCAATGTTGAAAAATGAAAACATTGTAGGCTTATAAAAAAGCAAAAAAATATTGACTATGTATCGTATTTGATGCTAAAAGAATTTGAAGATAAATATTGAGACTAAATGAGCATTCCTTTTATTGGCACTTACGAACAGTAAAGTTAGAAAATACTTATGGAAGACTATTATATATAATAATATATAAGTAAGACTATATGCACAAAGATGGAGAAATACTGAAATATTGAACTGGAGGAATGGATTCTAAAGATGGCTAGCAGAATTGACAAAACTGACTTGCTTGGGATGTTAGGAACAAAACACTAAGTTCTTTTATAAAAGACTAAAAACTTTTCACGAATAGTTAGCTGAAAATACAAAACAGCAAAATGTTAATTCCAAGATTAGATGATTAAAAAGAATTGAATGAGGGGCTGAATAAATTATTGTAATGTTAAGAAGGGGAGGAGGGATAATGAGTTTGAAGTTGTTGTAAAGAAGGGCAAAAATAGTTTATTTAGCTGTCTTTTTCCCCTTATTTCTGTACTTTTTCTTTATTCACTTCCATATCTGTCTCTTAGCTATGTAAATATCTTTAATAAAAAGCTATATTAAAAAAATAAAATAAGAGCACACCTTCACTATCATACTGCACACTAGAAAATCAATATTCCTGAGATAGACCAGGGGACTAGATCAGAAGTCCTTGAAGAGGTCGTCCCATCCAACTATGGTAGGTCTTGACCAGGTTCTGTTCTGGATTGAAACTGAACTGACTTAATGGCTGCCCTTGTTTTCTTTTGTGCTGTTTTTCTTGTATTGGCTTTGTTTCTTTGTTTTTAATCCTAATTAGCTGCTCAGAATTGCAATTTATGAGTTGGGTGACTTTATACATTGATTAAATAATTAATAAATATCCAGTTTTTAAATCTTGCAATCTAACTATAAACAATTTTAATAATTTTGATGGGCTGGCTGCTAAAGCAAGGTCATGGCACACACTTGAAAATAAATCAGGAAAACTGTAATTGTGGTGGTCTGTCTCGCAAGAACAAAGAATGCTTATCAACAGGAAATATGCATGTGTAAAGTTTGTAGCAATTATGGGTAGTTAGACAACTTGCAGATCTCAGCTAAAGGTTAGGGATGGCCTGCAGCAAATGAAATGTATATTAGATAACTCCTGGGANATGTGTCCCTACTGAGAATTTTCTCAGTAATGATTTCTCTCTAACATCTATGGAAGTGAAAGTTGGACTTTGAAGAAACAAATCACAAAGTGTACTGACTTTTCTGAACTTTTGTGTTGAAGAAAATTCCTGAGAATACTATATGGATAGCCAAGAAAACAAAAGGCACAAGTGACCAAGCTTAATTTTAAATGTAAAAGCCCATCTTCCTTGATAAGTCCATAATACTGGGAAAGATGAAAGAAAGAAAAGCAGCAAGATGAATGGACTCAGTTACAATAGTGAAGAATATACTGACATATTTTAAGCACACAATCAACCATATAATCCAGTGTTTGGATGGAAGGCACTAATGGTGACAATATTGAATTTGGTTACGCCTAACAATTTATCTGACCGCATTATGTGCTACACCAGGCCTCATGATATATATGGATCAGGGTTTGTAGTCATATATAAGATCACTACACAATCCGCTTAACTATGGTACAAACTTGACTGCATGCAAGAACAACTGTATAAGACATTTATCGATTCTATTTTAGGAGAGAAATACTTCAAAACAGTTTTAAAATGTATAAGAATTAAATCTCCGAAATAGATTGAAATACTTTTCCAAAATGCTTTAAAAAGTATGCATAAATCAGCTCACCATCCCCGTAAAACTTTAAATGAGAGTGGTATGAATGATGTAAAATCAGCGGCTTCTGTTGTAAAATCAATGCATGATCCCTGGAAGTGTATATTATCAAAAGCTTTGATCTGTAAAGAAGCAAAACACTGGAATAAAAAATTAATGTATAAGAATCAGCTAGAAAACAAACTATGTAATGGAAGAGCTTTTGTCAGGCACTGCTCCATCAACTGAAGTATAAAACATTATATTTTATGTAAATGCTGAGTTTCTGGATTCTGACAGGATAGAAATATGGTTAATAAATAATAAATTGTTGATAAATGATTCTGCCAAATGGGTTGTTACAAGCACATAAATGTTGACATAATAGCCTGCATGTTACTATTTAATTAGTAAGATGCAGAAACTGTTGCATGTTATTGCTAACTTTATAAGGAATTCCACATATGGGTCAGAACATATTATTGCTTTCCAGGAAGTTATTTATCCGTAACATACAAATCTAGCCTAAAAACTGACAAAATGTGCAAGACTTACTGTTAGAAAATATGAAATAATTCAGTAAATGTAGCAGTAACTACACAGAAGGGCATGGATGGCGGGGAGGGGGATGTAAAATGATCTGGTGTAAAGTTTGCACACACAGGCAACTGAAATGTGGCTTGTCGTAGAATACTTTTGTCATTCTGATGAAACAATAATTGCTATAATTAAAAAATAGTAGACACGCTCAAGTCACGTTCTAAGTCACGCTCAAGTCACCTTGGTAATACAGCACTTCTGGGTATTTGACAGATTATCTTTCATCCATAGTGGCAAGAACATCAAACAAACAAACAATTTTCAACTATCTCATCGTCTCACAAATTTAAAAGGTAATGAATTTGTTTTAAATTCCCATCCAGAACAGACAATTAATATAAAAAGGAACTAAGAAATTCAAGGATGGTTTCTTTTCAAAAAATTCTTAGAATGCATCTATGGACTATGAAACTGTCTAATAGCCTTGAATATTTTAAATGTCTTCCTACACTCTGAGGAAGAAGCACTATAACTAAAAAGAAAAAAATATTATTAAAACATAACATTTTAAAAACTTATTTTAGACAGGAAATCTCCAAAATTATAATGAACAAAATGTTTAATATTTGAAATATTTTGTATGTGAAATGGATTGTTCAAATTTTACGAGAAATGCCCAATCTATTCTAATCATACTGAAAACATTCTGAGTTTGAAGCAGTCCTGTTTTGAATATGGTTAAAATTACAACAAACCTACAGTATTTGTTCAAACTGTTTTGAACTTGAAACAGGGTATTTGAAACTTGACACATTTCAACAATGAATTTTTTGCATACCACTTTCCAATATTAACAACTTGTGGTTAGGGAAAATATAACACCAGAATATAGCATGTGGTACCACAAAACTATGACAAATATGTTAGATATGCCAAGACTCTAGATTTCAGGTATAGTTATATAATGAAACTCAGATCCTACAATTTTCAAATTGCTTTAAATTATAGTTTTGCTTCAGTAGGGCCTACAGATAAACCAACAAAAATTCCTTTAACAAAATTACAGCTGTCCAGTTTATATTCTACAATCCAGTAATAAATTGCTTCAGGCATGTTAGTAATAAATTGTTCTAAGACTATATCTTCAAATGCATCTTGAAAAGTCTGTATTTCCAGAGACAGCCACTTCTTGGCAAGCTCTCTGATCCAGTTCAAGGGATGACCTTCCTCTAATTTGAACCTACAGGTGAAACTCGAAAAATTACAATATCGTGCAAAAGTTCATTTATTTCAGTAATGCAACTTAAAAGGTGAAACTAATATATGATATAAGACTCATTACATGCAAAGCAAGATAGTTCAAGCCGTGATTTGTCATAATTGTGATGATTATGGCGTACAGCTCATGAAAACCCCAAATCCACCATCTCAGAAAATTAGAATATTACATGCAATCAATAAAACAAGGATTGTACATAGAACAATATCGGACCTCTGAAAAGTATAAGCATGCATATGTACTCAGTACTTAGTTTGGACCCCTTTTGCAGCAATTACTGCCTCAATGTGGCGTGGCATGGAAGCTATCAGCCTGTGGCACTGCTGAAGTGTTATGGAAGACTGGGATGCTTCAATAGCGGCCTTCAGCCCTTTTGCAATGTTCGGTCTCATGTCTCTCATTTTTCTCTTGGCAATGCCTCATAGATTCTCTATGGGGCTCAGGTCAGGCGGGTTTGCTGGCCAATCAAGTATAGTAATCCCATGGTCATTGAAACAGGTTTTGGTGCTTTTGGCAGTGAGGGCAGGTGCCAAGTCCTGTTGAAAAATGAAGTCACCATCCCCATAAAGCTCGTCTGCGGAAGGAAGCATGAAGTGCTCCAAAATCTGCTAGACGGCTGCGTTGACCCTGGTCTTAATGAACACAGCGGTCCAAAGTCTTGTTGCTCAGTGGTTCAAAGTCCTCTTTTCTGATGAGAGCAACTTTTGCATCTCATTTGGAAACCAAGGACCCAGAGTATGGAGGAAGAATGAAGAGGCCAATCAAGCGCAGTAATCCCACGGTCATTGAACCAGATTTTGGTGTTTTTGGCAAACGTTGCTCTCAGCATGGATGTTCAATGGTTGTTGTATTGCAGCACATATTAATTTATGATTAGCATACATCTAGGATGGAACACTGCTAGAGCTTTCAAGGCCTTCCCAGTCAGGTACGATAGCAACCAAAGCACCCATTCTTCTAGGCACCTATATCCTCATTTTGACAGCTTTGTTTTTATGTGAGGTTGTGAAAAAAAAAACAACCCTTGTATTGTAGAGCTCCAAAATAGCTGACATATGTTTGTGGAGATTCTCAGTATTCCAGATCATATTTTTCTTCAAAAAATTTCTCTATTTTTTTTTCCTTGAGGGGGAAGAAGAAAACATTTCATTTCTCATCCAAGAAGCTTCATCAGTTTTGATGGAGGGGGATGGAAGGACAGGTTCTGAAAGTATGATGTGGGAGGAAGGGAGGATTGTATTTCTGTGCAGTCATCTGGTTGTTAGCAATCTCGGACAGCTGTTAAGGCCACTTAAGGGTTTATTTGTGCCTGAATCAGGGTACAATTGGTTGTGGAATTTTCTTGGAACTGCTGCAAATGCTGTGTTCTAAACTGGAGATAGATGGTGTCTTATTCCTCCACCTCTGTTGAGGGGGTTAACATAGATGGACTCTTTTACCCCTCTTTCAAAACAATTGTCTTCATTTTTGATAGAGTCCACATTTTGGCTACACAAGGTCTACATTTTGGATAGAGATGACTATTGGTTGGACCCTGAGGGCACAGAAACCCTCCCAAGTGGCCTCAACAGCTCTCAGAACTGTTAACAACCAGATGACTTAAAAAAAATACAATCCTTCCATCCACCCCTACCATCATATCAGAACCTATTCTTCCATCCTTCCACCATCTAGTCTCAACTGTGAGTACCTATCCCTCTATCTCCCCACCATGAGAACTGATGAAGCTTTTAGGATGAAAAGCAAAACATTTTATTCTCCTTCCTCAAGGAAAAAAAACAGTCAAGTTGCCTTTTGAAGAAAAAAGCATGTTTGTGCTAGCTGACAAATGCTACCAAAGCTTTTGCTCCTAATAGGTTCTTGTTTCTCTTTCTGATGCCTTGCATGTTTCTTCCCACCAGCACTGTTCTTCATCATCCTGAGCTTCTTACTGTTACATTGTGACTTACAGAATGGCTGCAATGGAATTTACTCACTCTTCTCAGCAGTTCAAACCAAAAAAATTGAAAATAACATTCAAAATACAACATTTAACCAAGGAAGTAAACTAAATTAATAGAAGCTACTCTTTCCTGCTTTTGTACCAACAGTATAAGTACCGGTAAGTCTTTCAGCCTCAGCTGTGAGCATATAAGCAATTCCTTATTTGACTAGTCTCTATTCCCTTCCTTACCTTCAACACATTCTTATTCTGCTGTGGCTTATATTCGCTGGTTGATCATAATGAACAATACCTTATTTCAAGAACTTACCCAGTGTATGGGTTGATGATCTCCCAATGGTTCCTGTAAAAAGAAAATATATGTATCATATACACAAAAATATGTCATTAAAGAAAAATATGAAACACATAGAGAAAATAATTCAAAAAGATCTAGTTTGAAGGTTTTCCTGGTGAGCTAAGCTTTGTGAAAGTTCTCTAAGTACTGAGGAATAACTGAAGTTGATTCATAGATTCAAAAAATGACCTGAAAACTCTTTGAAATAGTTATGGTAGCTAGGATAAATGACAAATTGAATATGCCTTTTATAAGTTGACTTAACTGACTGTATTTCAATTTCCTATTCAAATGGCTTTCTTTTAATAAAATATAGGTTCATATACATATATCCTTGTTATATGTAGTGTTCGCTTTCGAATAATATGTTTTTGTATGAAATTTGTCACAATTTTTTTTCTTCTTCTTCTCTGAAATGTTTTCATAGTACCTAATTAATTCTTTAGTATTTCTTTATTTTGATGATTCTAGGTAGCAATCATAAAAATCCTAACAAATTTATAGGAATGTAAATATATTTAAAAGAATAGGAAACCATAATTTCATGCATGATACAAAGAGTTTGTATAGGACTGTCTTAACTCTTCAGGTATTGATTGTTATAAAATATTTATTTTACTTATTTATAAATATTACTAAAATAACTTTCAGTTTATTGCATAACTTTTTTCAGAAATTACGTTAGCTTACCAATTTAATGGGGCGAATTGACATAATAGTTTCACTAGTGCCACCCCAGTCCAAAAAACACTTATATTTTCCTTTCTCCAATATGTATTGTTCTCCACAGAAATACTTCTGTTGATAAGCAACCCACCTAGGTATAACATACAACAGACATTTTAAGATAAATCATATGACCAGGTTGCCTCTAAAAGTTTCTTGCTGCACTCTTATTTCATCTTGAAAAAGGGATGGCTAATCCATCCCAATTCTGGCTCTCTAGGCATAATGTAATGTGAATCCCAGGCTTTCAGGCTGGAAAGATTGAAAATATAACCCAGAAACAGCAATAACAAATCCATTGCTTAGTGTAGTGTTGCCAAAAAAACTATACTGTATAACATGTCCGTTTAGTTACCAAGAGTCAAACTACATTTGAAAAACAGTTACTGAAATATAACATATACCATACCTGGTGTTTCTATGACATATAAAGTATTTACTGCTTCAATGAAATTATAAGCATAAAAAGTTAAATCAGAACGAAGAACTCATATCAAACCACAATACTGAATTCTTAGTTTCCAAAAGTTACATTTCAGAATAATGGGTTAATTGACAAACATTTCAATGTCATTTATGAAGTGTGTAATACTTTATATTGTGGCTAAATGTTTTACTAAATCTAAGCTGTTACTCTGATAAAAAGAGAGAGAAAATATTCTGTGCTTTAAAAGTTGCTTTAAACCATGAACTCAAGTTCATCTTTAATATTAGAAACTCTACATTAGCATATTAAAATATAGAGTACTGTGCAAAAGTTGTAGGCAGGTGTGAAAAAATGCTGTAAACAAAGAATGCTTTCAGACATTTAAATAATGATTGTTTATTTTTGTCAATTTTCACAATGCAAAGTGAGCGAACAAAAGAAAAATCTAAGTCAAATCAATATTTGGTGTTACTACCTTTTGTCTTCAAACCAGCATCAATTCTCATAGATACACTTGCGCAAAGTCAGGGATTTTGTAGGATTATAGTCAGGTGTATTATCAACCAATTATACCAAAAAGGTGCTAATGATCATCAATGTCACACATAGGTTGAAACCCAGTCACGAACTGAAACAGATGTTTA